TTGTTGAACCGAGTTTTTTTACAACTTTCAGTTTACAAAACAATCGTTCACCCTCAGCAACTGACTTAAAAATAGTGTTGAAAATTCGAGGCATGATGTAAATATATGGAAAAGGCGTTCAAGCTTCTTCTAAAAGATTAGGTCAAAAAACTGCATTATATTGCTTGCTTGAAAATTGTTTTGCGGGCATTGGTAAAACGGCGAATTTCTTCTTTTTGCTTACATCTCTCGGATGAAACCGTGCGAGTTATCATGCTTTATTTTAAACGGAAAGATTATTATTGTTCAACCTGAAGAATAAAAATATTGCCAACCACCCTGCTTGTTTCAAATGTTGAATCAATCTGCTGGATAAGATCATTTAAACCAACATTGAAAATGTTCACTTTAAATTCTTTTGTTTGGCTGAGCTGCTCACTGGTCAGATATTTTTCATGATATGATTAAAAACTTCCAGCATTTCTCTCGGCCTCTTGGCAAGTGGTTTGATCAAGTTGGTATGAGATCTCCAGCTTGTCAGAGAAAGTCTATGCAGTGAAATTCCAGTTGCCTTAGTGAGAATTTTCCATCGGATAAAACTTGGACTAAAAAATACGCTCCAAGATTCAACATTTTTGAAGAATACTTTGACCTCAATGGCTGATTCAACTGCGAGCACACCAGACAAAATCAGACTGTGAGCGCTACAGGAAACGTACAGAGCTTCTGAATAATTAAGCCTTATCAAGCCCTGATCTCCCTTGTAAGCACCTGACCTACTAGATTCTTTATCATATCAACCTTTGTCATTCGTTTTCTCCCCTATGAAAGACAAATTACTTGTATGGATATTATATCCATACAACTATGAAAGACAAAATACTATGTAAGGATATTCAAAAATTTCGTGGTCAGGGACCACGAAATTTTTGAATATCCATACATAGCCTTAAAATCACATTAGTTATAAGCTTAGCTATATCAAATCCTTTCTTTGTCTCAAAAGTTTCAACACAACGTTCTTTAATTTTCTAGCAAGTAATTTGTCTTTCATAGCGGAGAAAACGAATGACAAAGGTTATCGCTCAGTATGAGATATATTAGGGGTACCATCAACTACGGTTGTGAAGTAGATACCATCCTGAATTTCTTCGACAGCTGCACTTTGGATAACACCATATTCTTTGGTGAACTTGTTTTGAGACGACGCAAAGAAATAATGGGCACTCATTGTGGAGCCTTCTTGTTGATGTTGTCATTATAAAGTTTTCTCAATATCAATTTTAATTATTTATATAATTATTACAATAAATTAATTATAATTATTATAAACATTTTCTAAGTGGGGTATTACAAATTATTGTAATAATTATATAAAAAATTAAAATTGATATTGAGAAAACTTTATAATGATCTACCTATAAAAGCTTCTTGTCACAGAGAAACCTCTATTGAAGAAATTAGAAGATTTTTTTTTAATGATTTTTTTCTTTTGTTATGTTGTTTACGGCTTGCATCAATCAAATTACTGTGTCTTCCGAAAAACTGACTCATGCAAACAATAATGTCCATAATTTTCAAAAATATATAAATTACCATTTTCCTCTTCTGACGACATAAAGTTCATAGTATAATATTATAAATTAAAATTAAAATAAACATACAAAATTACAACAGGAGAGTTCTTAAACTTAAAAAGTAAAACATGTTAAATAATTCACTAAATTTAAACATATAATAATTTTTTTATCAACAACCAACAAATAATTGCAAATTTTGACTAGTTCAATATTTATGTTGCTAAAAAGTGTAAAAATGTTATAATGAGAAAGAAATAAGTTATCAATAATAAATTAGAAATAAGTAATCATCAGCAAACATAACTGTCATTAGATTAGAAGATCATTAATATATGTTAAAAATAGGAGAGGTCCTAATATGGATCCTTGAGGAATTCCACATGAAATATTAAACAAACTAGATGATATGTTATCATCTGCAAAACAAATTGTTTTCAATTATTTAAGTAACTTTTTAGCCAAATTAATATATTTCCAGTAATTCCGTACTACTTCAACTTTTATTAAAAGAACTACGTGATCAATAGTATCTAAAGCTTTCGTCAAGTTAATGAAAATACCTAAAGTAAATTCTCTAAAGTTAGATTCTTTATAAGCCAGGAAAACAGTCACATTCAAAGTTTCACAAAGAATTGTCAGCCATTTAGCTGTCTCAGAATTTATTCAATTATGGAGCTCTAAATATTTACCAGTGGAGCTGGTAAGACGAATGTAGGCCTCTATCCAATCATTGTAGAACCTTTAGTGCAATGGGCTGCATTGATGCTGCTTCACACGACTTATGAGTTTCCTCCGTTGATCTCTAGCTCCTCAGTTTCAACGAAGAAGGGACAATTAGCCGCTTTTGAATACTGCTTTTGTGCTGCAGATCTCTTTATAATAATTGCATCTTGATCTTTTTGACTCAAAACAGCTGCCCACAAAGAAGGGTTAGCATTAATTATTACCAAGTTAAGTTGAACCTTGCATTCTCCACTGTTAGATAAAGTTCCTTTTTCTGACTCTAATGATTCACTTTGAAATTCATTAAGCTCAGCTTGAGGGAAATTGTTTAAGCCCCCACTGATCCACAGTCCTTCGAATAACATATAGAGTGCAGTAAATTACCCATATTGAGTGCAGCTAAGATGCAAAAACTCAAATATTTGATAACTGGTCGGGTCTGGTAGAGTCAAGGCCGCTTATTTGTCTGAAAAATGCAATGCTATGATTCTCTCTTTTGCCTCAACAGTTAAATACTTCTTAAAAAAAACAGCGCTTTTATTGTGAAATTGACCACAACTGTCTCGTTCGCTTCAGCTTCTTCAACAACCGTATGAAGCAAACCCATGGAACGTACTACCTATTGAAGTTTTCAGTGCTATTTGTGTCAACTCCTTCAAAGCAAAATTTGATGAGTTACCATTATTATTACCACAGCACATGATCTTCCTTACAATCGAACATGAGCTAGCATTGCTAAATGTTCATGTGCTTACGGAACACGCCTGCTTCTGTCTAGTTCTACAACATCTAAATCTTATTTTTTTCGTAAAAATTAGTTTATTAATAATTATAAGAATAGAATTTAAAACTTAAATTTTTTATTCTTTTAATTATTATTTTTTTAATTAAATTATTATTTTTTTAATAAAATTTTATTGGAATAAAATTGTACATGAAAATTAAAATTTTCATGTACAATTTTATTCCAAATACTAAAGTTACAATCTTAAATGCAAGAACTAAGCAGATTTCAGATTGTCAGTCATTAAAATGTTTACTATTTATTCTATTAAAAAAAAGGTATTGTCCGGCTCCCCTTCAAGCTTGGCGCCCGGGTCAATTTGCCCCTCCCTCTCAAAGGCCCTGCATACAATCAATATTTCAGTATAAATACAGATGGCCGGGGCATGAAGAAGGCACAATTTGTCTTGCCACCAAGCCTCGAGAATTAACTCCGTAAAATAAAAATTATTAGTTACAGCATATATAATTGTAATCAGTATATAAGAAATAAGATTTTCTGGTAATAAATATATAAAAATAGTAAAAATATATAAAGAGTAATAAATACATAAAAAAATAAAATTTTGCATATAACTTGTGAAATAGTTTATACTATTTTTTTGAAAAAATCAAATAAAAAGTTACAACCCTCTTAGAAAAAATAAAATACTTACTTGATTAATTTCTTAAAAAACATTTATTATAATTAAGAATCTTTTTTTAAAGAGTTAGATTAGAAATAGTGTAAAATGAAAGCATAAATACTGTAAAAACAAAAATTTCAGCTTAAAGTGTTTGAAATAATGACTTCGCAATTTTAAATCAAAATTCCCAGCGCCCCTCAATATGTACTTAAACCCGAACCCAACACCAGTCATCAATTTTCAATTTATATTTGTTAGAATTTATTTATAGCATAAGAGCATTTTACAGACTCATTAAATCCTAATATTTTACAGGCTACTACTGGGAAATAAAATATTTTACAGGGTGACTCATTAAATCCTAGTATTGGCAGTCTACTACTGGGAAATAAAAAAAAACAATATTCAAAAAAACAATTTCCCAAAACCTAAAGTTTTGAATTGTAGTGTTTTTTAAATGTTCAATCTGTTTAGATGCAAATTACCATCAAAACAAATACTGTAAACCTGATAAATCTATCGAAGAAAAGATCAAAGTAGATTCCAGTATTTTAAGTGTTAACATGATGTTTGATGAGTAAAAATTTTGAATCGTTTAAAAATTTTATATTACTTTTTAAATTTTATAAAATTTAAACTTAGGATGCAAATGCTACTTTGTGAGCAAATTCTCTCTACGATTTATCATTATATATCTATCATTTATCATTATATTTATCCAGGCAATTACATAGAAATAAGGTCTCATCCTAAAATATATACTAATATTACAAAAGAGCGAGTTAGTTTTTTTTTTAATCTATATTCAGCGATTCAATCTATAAATACAGTTTTCAAGGTAGAAAAATTTGTTATGAAAATGTCTGTTCTGTAACCATCAACGATATCTTAACATAGCAGTACTTATGTGTTCAAAACTTTAGAGTTGCTTACTTCTATAATGGGATATCGAGATGAGGAAACAAGTCATCTGCTAAGCTATCCTTCATAAATGTTATAAATAATGCAGCTACAAATGAATAACACCGCTACAAGATTTGCAACTACAACAAAAGAAGGTAAGATATTTATATTATAGATTTTAAACTCTCTGAACTTGATTTATTAGATAAAGTGTTTTTTTTATCCAGGGCAAAAAAAGTTTGTGTTGCGCCAAATAAAAAAAAAAGTCTTAGCGAATGAAAATAATTTTTACTTTAGAAGTTTTGTGGCCAAATTCGATAATTTTGGGGTAGCATTTTAAAACTTTATGATTGATTGAATTGTTATTCCTGTGGTGGTTTAAAAGCCGATATAGACTAGAATATGCTAATACATATAAAAACTGTAATACTTCTTTAAATACCGTAAAAAAATATACAAAATAATAATTTATGTAATATAATTATGATAAACCGGATTAATCATCACTTTTTTCATTGACAATAACATTTTCCCAGCTTCTTGACAAACCCTCCTCATCGTAATCCAATTCTTCCAATCCATTTGAACACTTTTTATCCATAATTGATCTGTACACAGCATTGTTTTTTATTCGAGAGTCAAGTTTCGATTGAGCTGAGGGAATCGGTAATATTTTGCGAACAGGTGGTTTAATATTAACATCTGGAAGAGGAATATATTTTGGAGGCTCTGGAAGTGGTTCTCCAATAATAGAAAATACGCTGCATTTCAATTCATACACTATACATTTGATTTCAAATAACTCTTTATCGCGTTGCTTAAGAGCCTCAAACAATTTATAATATTCTAACTCCTTTAAATAATCTTTATCAAGATCAGCCTGACTCCGTGATACTATGCTAATTTTGTTATTGATATTAAAGTATTCTTTTAAATAATCATTTAGGAAATCAAAACGTAAACAAACCGATCGCACCACTTTTTCCCAGTACTCGCTTTCCGTAATACCAGCTTTATCTTCTGGTTCAGAAACAACCTAAAAACAATTTTTAACAAGTTTTGCATCAAATTGATAAATTTATTTAATTCATTACATTAATTTATTTTAAATCATTATTTCCCAGAGAATATTTTATCAACTTATTTCTTTGAAAATGGTCGTTCAATTTTATTGGGGTCGTCTTGTTCGTCAAGGATTGTGTTTCGGAGTTATAGAGTTAAGAAAGGATCGTATTAAAGTAGCCTATATATATATATATATATATATATATATATATATATATATATATATATATATATATATATATATATATATATATATATATATATATATATATATATATATATATATATATATATATATATTATTGTTATTTAGGTGTCCCAAGAAGACCTAACGGTCTTGTCACAGAGCACCGCGGAAGTGCATTTAATCAGGAAGTTCACGCCTCATTCCTTACCGTGACACGAAAATATTTCCTAGGCTCGTTTCGAATCTGAATCTCCTGCTTGTATAGCAAGCACTCTAACCACTGCGCCACGGCCGCGTTTACTGTCATTGTAAACCGCGTTTACTGTCATTGATGTTCCATTTTTAAAGTAGTTTTGCCTACTTTAGCATTTTTATTATTCTTATGATTATTATCAGAGCATTTTAACCAAAATGCTTTTAAATTATATAGTGCAAAAATAAACACAAAAAGTAGTTAAATAAAAAATAGCATTTTTAAAAAAAGTTAATGCTAATCGAATTATTATGAACGGTGTGTGTGTGTGTATATATATATATATATATATATATATATATATATACATATATATACGTATATATATATATATATATATATATATATATATATATATATATATATATATATATATATATATATATATATATATATATATATATATATATATATATATATATATATATATATACAGTAACTAACTTAATTAACTGGGCCAGCTGATTCTCATACAAAGTTATGACTTTCAGTCCATATTGTTTGATTAATTGACTTTTGGAAGTTAGGCAAACCTTTTGAAAAGTGATAATAATAACATTGAAGTTGATTTGTAAAATTAAATAAATATTTCTAAGAGGTCAGTAGATATTTAATAGTATTATTTGTGTACTTGGTGTAAAATTTAGTAAATTTATGATTTTCATGTGTTTGAATAATATGAAATAAAAGGAAATTATGTTATTGTTATATTAATTTGAGTGATAATACAAGTTATCCAAATATGCATACAGGTAGTTTCATCCAAAAAAGTTGAAAAAACAATAAATATTCATTATTTATTTTAATTTTTTGGTATCATATAAGAAAAAATAAGATAAATTGAAACAAAATAATTTAAAATTAAATTTAAAGTCAGCAATGCTTTTAATATGTAATATTGTGTCAAATAAAGCAGAATTTGTATAAAAGTTAAGTTAAAATGGTATATTTTATCTTTTTAGAGAATGACTGGAGCTAAGAGGTTAAGTATGGAAACGCGGATGAGGGTAGTTTTGCTGGCCGAGCAAGGTCATTCGCATCGCCAGATCGCTACAGACCTGAAAATCAACCGCAAAACCGTTGATTCATTGGTAATAAAGCATAAGAATACCGGCAGTGTTGGGGATTTAGCTGGAAGAGGGAGGAAGCAAGCTACCACTGAGCGAGAGGACAGGCAGCTCATCCGCATGTCAAAGCGTAACCGATGGTTGACTTCACCGAAGCTGAAAAAGGCATGGAACGAGAACTACGGAGTTGACGTAACCTGCCATACTGTGCGTAAGACTGCGGGCAGCTAATCTGCGTGGTTGTGTAGCAGCAAAGAAACCACTTCTGTCCGAGGAGAATCGTCGCAGCAGACGGGAATGGGCGAAAGCTCATAAGGATTGGACGGCCGATGACTGGAGCAGAGTGTTATGGTCAGACGAGAGCCCGTTTGAGTTGTTCTGTGCTGCAAAGCGTGCCTTTGTGAGAAGGAGGCCAGGGGAGAGATTTAATAGTGACTGTATTCTGCCAACAGTAAAAGATAGGCGTGGGTCAATAAATGGTATGGGGTTGCATGAATGGTTTCGGGACGGGAGAACTTCGTCGTATCGAAGGTACTCTTAACCAAAACCGATACATGGAGTTGTTGGAATCAGCTATGTTGCCATCTGCTGCAAAGCTTTATGATGGTCAGCAGTATATTTTCCAACAGTCAATGCCGCGTCGCTTGAGGGAATTATTGAGGGTCAAGGGTCGAAGTACAAAATATTAGATTTTTTTTTTTCAATGACTTTCTTTGTTATATTGTTATATTTACATATTTTTTACATTATTATATAACACTATTGCTATCTGTAAATAATTAAATCAGTATTATTCAAGATTGTGTCTTCTTTGCATAAAAATGTGACTGGCCCAGTTAATCAAGTTCGGTACTGTGTATGTATATATATATATATATATATATATATATATATATATATATATATATATATATATATATATATATATATATATATATATATATATATATATATTAGGGTGGATCGATTTTCATAGCAAAAAAAAAAGTTTTAAAATCAATATTCCTGAGACACGAATCGATGTCTATTAATTATAAGATGAAAGTAAAAAAATATTTTTTGATTTTGATGAGATCTTGAGGTTCCTCTTTGGATTCTAAATCCTTGACTATCAAGCTTGGACTCAAAAAAAGCAGAAAAAAAATGCTTGTTTTATCAATAATAATTTTATTTAAAAAAATTTTTAGTAAAAAAAATATTTGCAAAAATATACCTTGAAAAACCCGTTTAGACGGGGGTTTTTTAATGAAAAAAATGACATTATTTTTTCTCTTAAGTTTTGAATTAAAATAAATATTATATTCAAAATAAGCGTATTATCCTGCTTCTTTTGAGTACCAGGTTGATATAGTTAAGAAGAAAATAAAATTCAACAATATTAGGATCTGTCGCAAATTTAGAATCCAAAGGAATTTAGGAACCTCTAAAACTCATTTAAATTAAAAAAAAAAAGGTCATTTTTTTACCACAAGACATTGATTCGCAGCTCAGGCAAATCAAATTTCAAAAATTTTTAAAATCGATCCACCCTAATATATATATATATATATATATATATATATATATATATATATATATATATATATATATATATAACATTTCATGTAACAAACCTAAAAAAAATTTTTTCTATAAAAAGAAATAACTCACTAATGGTGCACATTCTTCATGGATATAATCGTTAGCTTTTTTGGCACGCTTTTTAGATAAAAAAGCTTCTATCTGCAAAACAGTATTAGCCTGAAGAAGAGAAGCGTTGGCTTTAGCATTTTGATAAACTCTGTTAAATGTTTCTGATAGCAGTGCAATATATAGATTTAGACATAAAACTGTTGACAACATAAAAAATGTGCCAACAAATATCTAAAAAAAAAATAAGTTATTTAAAACTATACACCTCACAAACTAATTTCACCTAAAAAGCATATTTATTTAAAATCTTATTCAAATTTGGACAAGTGATTGTGATTTTAAAATTATTTAAAAAAAAAAAAGAATCTTCGATCTGCGTTTTTTTTTTGCTACAAACATTTATATTTTTTGATACAGACTCCACTTTATGTAAAAAAATTTTTTACATTAAGTGGAGAAAAAACTTTTAAATACAATAGTAATAAAATAAATACAACTTAAAACCATAAGTAAAATAAAGTAAAATCTAAAAACCTCAAATAAATTTTCCTGAAAATTTGAAAATTTCTCCTCTCAAGGAAGAACTTTTTTTGTAGTTTTTGAAAGTTCATAATGTTTAACAAAAAAGTGTTTTTGTTAAATTTCTTTATTATGTAGATCTGTTGTTACTTTCAGAAAAGAATTTAGAATCAGTTTTGACATGTTTCCATTAGAGCATGTTTAATGCTATTGATTCTTAAAAAACTAAAATTAATTTTCAAAAATCTAGTAGACAAGGCAAAACTGATTACAAAGAAAATATTTAAATTTTGATCATGGAGCATTCTTCTCATACAAACAGTTTCTGTTTTTAGTTTTTATTTTCTACTATAAAGTTGTAATTTTTAGTTATTCCAAAAACTGGAATAATTAAAAATAGAAATTATACAGGTAAATTTATTTTTAAATGTTAACTAACCTCTCCAAGGCCGAGAAGGCTACTAAAGTTGAGGAGGGTACTATAATATCGTTACAAACCTCTCTCAACTCTATAACTCCGAAACATGAACTTTGCCGAACAAGGCCGTTGCGCGGATAAACAAGTTAAGCGCAGTACTACCAGGGCAAAAAAACGCCTTGAAAAAAATAGGAAACTTGTATATTGTTTTATGAAGTATATCTTGCAGTGTATTTTCTATATATTTCAAAATATTTTATTGATATATACTTTGAAAAATTTTGGCCTGATTTCTGCAATCTATTTATTTGTAATATATTATTACATATAATTTATTTCACAAACTTATACTCAATATTCTCTATTTATATATTATAATCTATAATATGAATGAGTACTTAATATTTGAATTAACTCATAATCCATTACGATTAGGGAGATAACTACAGCAAGATCTACAAAATAGGAAAAAAAACCAAAACATATAATAGATCTAAATAAAAGTACAAACAATGTAAGCAACAAGTCCAAAAAGATAAAACTTTTTAAAAAACTTGAAATCTAATAAACTTTTATTATTCAACATTAGTACTGGTTGATACATTAGGTTGCTACATTTAGATTAAAACTGAATCAATCAGGAGACTGATCTACTCTAATCAACTGTAATAGGGTTACATGGAATTTTTTTAAGTAACACTGATTTAAAGAGATAAACAGCTTCAGTTTTCATAAATTTTCTTTAAATATATGCATATATTTAATATATTTAAGAATATGCATATATTTAAAAAAAAGAGTAATTGACTTAATCAAATGCAAACAATAGTAAGAAAATACAATAGTAAAATTTTGCTAAAGATTTTGCTTCGGCAAAATCAATAGTCTCAATAGATTCTATAGCATCAGTAATGAGATATTAGTTGCACATGGCTTAAAAAGGGGAAAACCATGTTGGTTTGGGTTAACAAGGTTGTTTAAAAGTGATAACTATGGAAACTGCAGAACTCAATTAATTTAGCTGTAGATTTTATGGATAAACAGACTTATTCAAATTTTTAACTATATATCTAAATCTATTTAAAGTTATGGCTATTTCAAAAAATCCACCTCAACTTTTAGAAGAAAAACAAAGTAATTATTTTGAGATATTTTTGACTTTAATTTAAAAACTTGAAAATGAAACTTCTATATCAATAAAGGTAATTAAAACAGAAAACATGAAATATGAAAACTATGCTAAATTGGATAAATATATATATATATATATATATATATATATATATATATATATATATATATATATATATATATATATATACATATATATATACATATATATATATATATATATATATATATATATATATATATATATATATATATATATATATATATATATATATATATATATTATTTTAAAACATCAAGAAATACAGTTTCTCTCAATACTAATAATTTTATTTTGTAAGAAATTTCTGCTGGGTTATGGATACCAGCATCATCAGCTTGTAAAATATTACAATAATTTTTAACCGTTATAGTTTATATAAAATTGTTACTATTGACATCAGCAGTTGAATGGCTTCTTTGATTTTTAAATTTTATAAATGGCGTCCAAAACATAGTTTTTACATATTGGCCTTCATCAAGATTAATTTCGCCGTTTTGTGCAGAGCACATGTTGTTTTGTATTTCTAGTGCTTCTCTAATTTTTCTTTCAAACTTTTTATTTTCTACTTTTAATGTTCTTGTTTTTTCCCAAATAATATTTTCTTTGCAAAAGGTTTTATGATACGCTAATGCAGATTGATTAGGTTTGCTTTCATTAATGCTCTTTTTTTTCACCTATGTAGACCTTGGAGTAGTTGCATTTTATTATATAGGTTCCAGGGTGGCTGTTACTTGGTAGTTTTGATTTGTTTTTTGATGTTAATAAAGATCTTAAATTTGGGTTTAATTTAAATACTGCTCTATACCCTGCTTTTTGGAATATTTTTCGAAGTTTTGGTGAAAGCCCTGGTACCCATGGTAAAGACACTACAGGAAGATTATTGTATTCTGATGGAATTGTGTTTTTATTTCGTCTTTTTTGATGAAATTGGTGTGTAATATTCCTCAATAGCTTTTCATCATACCAATTTTCAACAAACATGCCAGTTAAAAAATTCATTTCATTTTGCAAATGATGCTTACTACAGATGGAGTAAGCTCTGTGGAGAAAACCTTTAAATATAGCTGTTAAAATATTTGGATCGTGATTTGAATGCAGTTTAATTTGAATGTTAGTGATTGCCTCTTTTCGATATACTTTGTATTCATATTTTCCTAGTGTGTTATTTGTAATGGTTGTATCAAGAAAGTTAAGTGTAAAACGCTTATAAGGAGAAAAGTTAAGTGTAAAACGCTTATAATTTTGCTTATAAGGAGATGTGTTTAATCTGCTGATAACAGTTTTTTTTTAACAGGAGATAATGAGATTTTTCTTTTCTCCTTTTAAAATAAAAAGCAGTTTTTTTAAGCTTTTTTAAGTTTTGGATTTCTTCAGAGGTTCAACTGCCTCAATCGATTCTTCCTCAAATACTCTTCTCAGCTGCTTTGCTGCATTTTTTCATTTCATTTATAATAGACTGCTTTACATCATATATACATGAAATCGAGACAAAAGTTTTCTACATCTTGGATCAAGATAAATTGCAGTGTTCAAAATTGCTGTAAATCGTGATAATTAAGATAATAATTTATTTTTACTTTCATCTCACAAGCTAATAAAGAATCTGTTTCTTTAGTTCTATAGTAATGGCAAAACTGCAGATCGGGTGGTCTGTTTTTCTCTACTGAGTGCATCAGTAATAATATATTACATAAATTTTTGTGAAACAATTAACTGTAAAATAAACACACCTTAGATTTTTGCGTTAGATCAGGATGTCTATCTTTTAAGTGTTTTATGGGATTAGGGGTGTTTCCGCTTTTGCTTGACAACAGCACTAGATGGAACAGTATTTTTGAGATAATAAATAGATTTTGGATGCTTTTTTATTTTATAAGTATTAAGAAATAAAAAAATACAAGTTTTTTAAAATATTTATAATGAATCATAAATTAAAATATAATATTAAAAAATTAAATACAAGAACAATGTTTAATTAACTTGGTTTAATTTTTTATTTTATATCAAAACATTATTAAAACTTAATTTTGGATTTTTTGACAGCAAAATCATACGCTCACAATTTTGAAATAATTGCATATCAAAAAGCATAAAAAAAGAAAACATACAAATACCAAACCAATTAAAAACTTAGGAGGAATGTAAAATCACAATGGGTTTCTTCAACAAAACAACTCAAGTTGTTTTGTTGAAGAAATGTCTGGGAAATTTGAACCAGAAATTTGAAAACAAAACTACAGAACACCCTCAAAATATGACTTTAATAATCTGAGAATCCCAACTGGGTTTTGTCAAAAGTGGGGTTCAACATTGAAAAAAAATCAAATAAGAAAAAACCAAACCTTTCCAGACTTGTTTGATTTCTCTTCCATCTTTGATAGAAGAGAAATCAAACAAGTCAGATAGACAGTTGGTGACTGTAGTCCAGTCAGATAAACAGTTGGTGACTGTTTGATTTGCTCAGTAAAGAAATCTAAGCACAATGTTCTTACCCACAAAATAGTGAACTAATTGAAGGTGCTTTTAGTGCATTTCAATAATTGGTAGGGGCTTATTACACAACTGGATAAAAACCTTACTGAAAAAACATCTTTTATAGCAAACAAAAGAGCAACACATCATGGAACAGTTTGTCTGAACCAATAAAAATACCAACCAGGTGGTTTATTTCCAGTTTTAGCAGGTCTACTTTTAGAATAAGAGTTGATAAAGCACAACATCTAAAAGGTTAAAACTAGAATTTTGTTTCTAAATGTTCAAATTCAAAAGCTTGCTAAGGAAGAAAAATTCAAAATCTTTTTACCACATGGTCAATATATGTTAAAACAATCAAAGAAGCATCTCAGGCACATAAACTTATAGTAAATCAAAAGACTTAAAAAGTATTTGCGATAAAGTTCTTGTTACCAGAAATGCTACTAACAGCTTCATCAGAAACTAGGTATTTATGATGGAAGAGGCTTTATGAAAGTCAGTCTTGGCAAAGATTATTCCAAAGAAGAGTGATTTGTATTTCCCTACTTATTAGCATTCTTTCAGGTCCTGTTTAAAAGATGTAGGTGTATACTAATGTATATTAAAAGATGGTGTAAAATATTAATAAAGTGCTAATTATAGTAATAAAAACATATCAGAAAATATCAAGTAATAAAAGTATATAAGAAAATTTCCAATATGAACTACAGCAATATTATTGCATTTTGTGCAAATATAATTTGCCCTACCTTGTTTAACAAATTGTACCTGTGTGGTGGTGGTGTAGTGGTAGAGCGCTCGCCTCATAAGCAAGAAGATCTGAGTTCAATCCCCACCACATCCCTGGTTGTACTGCGATCAATTTGTTTCTCCACAAAGTGGTCTTGTTCTACAAGGTTCAAGTTTCAGAGTTATAGAGTTGAGAGAGATTGTAACCACAAATAAAGTAGCCTCCTTGATTATAGTGGACTTCTCGGCCTTGGGGAGGTGAATTAACATAAACAAAAAAAAACTTTTTTTGAAACTAGAGCACTCGCCTCAAAAGCAAAAAGTTCCGAGTTCAATCCCCACTAATACCCTAGTAGTACTGCCCTAGTGGACTTGTTCGTGAAGGTTTCAGAGTTACAGTCTTAAGAGAGGGCTGTAACCATAATTAAAGCAGCCTCCTCGACTATAGTGGTCTTTATGGTCTTGGGGAGGTGAATTCAAATTAAAAATAATAAAAAAACTTGTGCAACAATCTTGTTTTAATTTCATTTTAAAAAACCTATAATTGTTGGATAATAAAAAACATAAAACTGTTGGGTAATAAAAACCTAAAACTGTAGGGTAATAAAAAACCTAAAACTGTTGGGTAATAAAAAAAATCTTGGTAAAAGTTTGATATATATCCATAAGAATACTCTTGAGTCCCTAATAATCCCTAAGTAAAAATCCCTAAGTAAAAATCGATCTTAAAAATTAGAAAATAATTATTTCACTGATTGATAAAAACAAAAACTTTCAGTATAAACAGGCTTAAAAAATCGCCGATCAATGAATTTTTTCTCCTTTTTATACTTTTTTACTCAAATTTAAACTGTAAATTGGTTTTTTTAACAATGAAACCAAAAATTTGTAAAAAGGATTTAAATGCACAATTTAACAACAAAATTAATTTTTCTGCTTTAGTTAATTTATACTTAAGTTATGGTAATTTATGCATAAGTTAAAAAAAAACTTTTAAAAAGAGTATTAAGTTAAATTGATTGTTGAATAGAATTTAATAGAGAAAAAAATACAAATAAAATAGAGTAATAAAAATCATCAACTTTCAAAACTTAGTTTTACAAAATTATGTTAAAAGTTTACTGACATCTAAAAAAATATAATTTTTAAGTATTAATTTTTATTGAAATAAAAAGCTCAGGTAAAAATTTTTATAACAAATATTAAATAAATGAAAAATAAATAAATTTAAATAACCTGTGCCATAAGACGATCAACAGCTACAAGACCTTCCAAAAAATCTCCAGTATTTAAAGTTACTTGCCAAACTGAAAATATCATGTTATTAAAAAGTTCCCAGTCAATAGAATTAGCATTGGCATCATTCATTTTTTTTGCATTAACATATCCCCCAAAAAGAATCCAAAACCCAATTGAGTAGGGAATAAAAAACTCAAAAAAGAGAAAAGCAAAAGTAACTGTGTCAGCTAACACATGACCAAGCATTGTAATAAATGGGCCCAATGTAGTAAATGGTCGACAGGACTTCATAAAATGCAACCACATAGAAATTAAAGCAAATGTATATGCACGCAAATGAATCTTTGCAGTAAGTTCATTGTTTTTTACAACATAAAGTATTCGTGTTAAAATAACAATCAACACTGAGATATAAGTTAACAAGTCAAACACATTCCATGGATCAGATAAAAAGTTTTTTTTTTTAGAACGAACTGCTTTCATTTCACTTTCAATAAAAACTTTTTCCTGTGGCCATCTTGGATGACAAAATTCCAAATCACGAGTAAGCTGTTGTATTTTCCATCTTCGGAACTGCTCATTTGTCTTCAAACTTGTTTTGCTTTCCATGATTTGCTACAAAGTAACAAAAAATATAAAATATAATATATACAACTATTTTGTTAATGTAGTTTTGAAAAAAAAGTAATTTAATCAAATTTAAGGCTTTAAAGAAACTTTCACGTCACTGCGGGGCCCCGTCAAATGTGGTATTCCCAAATGCTCATAAAATTAAAATTCCTAATTTAAAGGTGAAAAAATCTAATTTTCTAAAAAAAGTTTGCCAAATTATAGTTTAATAGTAATTCTAAAAACTATTGAAAATTAATTTTTATTAAGAATAATAATAGAAAAATGAGAATTGGGATTTTCCAAGCGATTTTAGGGATTTTCTAGGCAACTTGCTGTAAAATTCATTTCTCAAAATTTGCAAATATTTTTTAGTAATGCATTCCAACAACAACAAATTTGATTGGTTTAACGCCCGCAAATGCTACTTCTTTAAAGGGATCCCCAACTACAGAGACAAGTTGTGTTGATTTAAAGAAAATGTTTAAAAAAAATATTTGGGCTGAATTTTTTTGATTAAAACTAAATAATGAATGCACACCATTAATTTTAAAAATCACGTATTAGTCAAAGCTCACCGTCTCCATTTTTTTTTTTGTAAGTATGCGTTCATTATTTAGTTTTAATCAAAAAAATTCAGCCTAAATGTTTTTTTTAAACATTTTCTTTAATATAAACACAACTTGTTTTGGCAGTTGGGGATCCCTTTAAAGGTTTTGCCCTTTTTGGCTAAAAAATGAAATAAATACATGTGTTGATGAATATAATTCAATTAAAAAGAATAAATGAATAGCTAGTAAGTCACAGATTGCTAGAGAGAAAGATTTTAGTATCAAATTAGATTTACTGTTTGACATTTCACATAAGCTAATTAAAATTGATGAAGATAAAATATTTCTGGAAGACCAAAAGAATGCTTGTATGATGAAGATGGCTGGAGAAGATGTAAAATTATCTCAACAAGAAAAGCAAATAGCAGAGCGTCAACAAGCAGAAATAAAAAGCAGAATGAGGAAGAGAGAAAACAACAAGCAAATGCTGTCCTTACCGCTAGCTGTAGCCACTTTAGTCTTGATTGTGATAGTGATAGCAGAGCAACAGAAGTCAGTGACACTCCTGATGACAATGACGATTATGAAATAGAAATTCCGGTTTATCACAAAAAACTAGTAACCCAATCAACTGACTGTGAACAAAGTTCTAAAAATAAAAAGCCACATATTCTCAATAAAATTTTGTCCAGATGTATCATCCACACTTGATCGAATCAATTTATCTGACCAAATATTCACTATATTGGCAGCTGCAATTGCTAGAGCAAGTGGAGAGGACCTCCAAAGTCCAATGTTGATAGAATTGCTATTGATGTGATTGGTCGTAATCTGGAGAAAATACTGGGTATTGTAAAGATATCATCTGGCACTGGACTGGCTCAAGCAAAAGCAACCTTCCAGTTACTGACCATATGGAATGTTGCAAATTATATTGTCGATATGTATTTTGACATTACAGCGTCAAACACGGGTTCCAAAAAGGGTGCATGCATCTTGCTAGAGAAGTTGATGGAGAAAAATCTTCTCTATTTTGCTTGCCGTCACCATATACATGAAGTAATTATTGGGGAAATATACTCAGTTTTGCTTGGACCCAGCAGTGGGCCCAACATAGCTCTATTTGAACAATTTCAGAAGTGTTGGCCAAGCATAAATTAAGCCAATTATGCTCCATTAGATGACGCCCATCTTGCTGAACCACAGCTTCAGCAATTTTGAACAGATTTTGTCTCCTTTCTGCAGCCTTTCTTATCAGATGACTCTTCGCAAAAGAAGACTACAAAGAGATGATCGAGCTGTGCCTTTTAATTTTGGGTTTTCCGTTATCAGACTACGCCACCAAGAAGTATCGCTTTTGCATGCCGGGAGCTTATCACATGGCTAGATAGATGGCTAAAGTCATCTATTGTATGAAGATATACCTCTTAAGAAATGAATTCAAGCTGACTATAAAAGAACAGAACAACTTGTGCAAATTTTGTATTGTTGCTGCTCATATCTATGTACCAGCATTGATTGCCTGTCCAATTGCAAGTGATGCTCCAACAAATGACCTGATGCTTTTCACAAGAACTAAACAATATTCTGAGATCAACAAGGTCATTTCAAACTCTGCTATGAAGAAGCTTCAAAATCACACTTTCATTATTTTCTGACAGGATTAGTGACACAGAAAAAAAGTTTCTCCGCGCAGCGGCCTTCGTCAAGGTTCGTGTTTCGGAGTTATAGAGTTGAGAGAGGGTTATAACCACAAATAAGTAGTCTCCTCGTCTGGAGTGGCCTTCTCGGAGGTGAATTAATAAATATATATATATATATATATATATATATATATATATATATATATATATATATATATATATATATATATAATCAACCCTTGGAATTATGAAAAATGAACTCTGAACTTGCATTCCAATCATACTACCAGTATGGATTTAAACATCTTTTTGTGGATTTATTTCTGACTTCTAACTCTAATAAGTAATTCAGATATATTCAAAGCATTTTATCGCACCACATTGTGCTTAGAATATACTCAAACTTAAAGATCAGAACACTAAAAACTTTGAAGAATTAGATACAGTATTATCTCTAAATCTATTGAATCTATTTAATATTTAAACTTGGTTAGTCACTTTTGTTTATGATTTCATCAAGGTTGACAACTTAATTTATTCTTTTACACAAATTTAAATATAAAAATCAATTTCATTAAAAAACTAATTTTAATTTTAACCAGATCTGTACAAAATATATTTCCCTCAACCTTTGTTATTGGAAGATCATTATCATTATAACTTAATTATTAACTAAATTAAAAATACAGTAAAATAATCTTACCTTAATTATAAAAAAAAAAGTCATTAAAACAGCTATTAATTCGATGGGTATCTTCCAGTAAACCCCATTTTTGTAGTAGCCTTCTTTACCACGTGGAAGAAATATTCCTAACCATGTCCAGATCATAATGTATGTGATATGTATAAATGCTGTAAGGAGGGCTCCAAATTTACCAAACTGATTCCATTTTTGTTTTATCATCTCTTGCATAACAGGATGCATAATTACATCAAACTCCTTTAACTCAACTGCCATCTGGATTAAACAAACAGTAATAGTAACAAATAGTAATAAGTAATTTAAACAAATATTTTAAATGTTACACACAAAAAAATTAAAAATTAAAAAAAAAAATTGCTTATACTATTGACATCATTATATATGATGGCATCTTCAAAAACAGAAACGATATTAGGCTGTGATTTGTCAAAAAAACATGACAACAAAATTTGTCAGAAATTTTATAATTGAAAACGTTATTTTACATATGCTTGAAAATAATTTTTTTAACTTTTAAATTTCTGCACATTGATATTTTGAGTTGTATTATAACTTTAGAGAAAGGATTGTGAACTATGAATTTGATAAAATATTGCAAATTCAATACTTATTATAAAAATAAAGAAAATTGCATTAAAAGTTTTTTATTATACTATAAAATTTAACTTACCTTAAAGTGTAACTTACAAATTATCTTACAATTTTAAGAAAGATTTCCTATAAAAACAGCTCAATGATCAAATCAATGTGTTGACATAATTATGCAACAAATGATCAAATCAATGTGTTGACATAATTATGCAACAAAAAGTACTGATAAGCTTAAAAGTAACAGAAAATCAGTTTATTTTATTTCAGAAGAAAAAATAGGTGAACCCAGATTAGGTCATCAGTAAACTTATTAAACCCTTGTGCAGTCATCACAAGTTTTATATGGACTAAAAGTGTGAAATATGTTTGTATGTGAAATAGTTTGCATAATGTTTTAAAGGTTAAAATGTATGGGGCTAAAATATTTTTTTTTTATTTTATATATTTTTTACTGGTTTTGTTTATTTTGAACAAATTATCATTATTTATTATCTGTTATGAAAAGTTAAAGAAAAAACACAAAAAAGTAAGTAATGAGTAATGATATTCAAAAATATATCTAAATTTTATAGTTGTATCAAAATACAATTGAGCTAGATAGATTGTTTAGATCAGCTGGTGGAACAGAAGAGACATCAAGAGCAAGCATAAATGTGTCTGGGTGAAGTTTAGAGAATAATCTCAATTGTCTAACAGCAAAAGGTGTATTAAAATAAAAGAGGATTGGACATGAATCCAGAGTGTTATGCTCTATAGCAATGAAACACGGGAAGGTAAAGTTGATGATGTCCATTGTTTGGAAAGTACAATAAAAGTGATGATTAGATAAATGTATGGTGTGACTTTAAATGACAAAAAAAGATGTAATGATTTTAGACAGAAATTGGGAATAGTAAGTGTATTTGATTGTGTGTATCAAGTAAGATTAAGGTGAAGAAGTTTGTTTAAAGGTGGTTTAGGTATGTAATAAAGATCACTTTTTTATTATTTGGTAATTATAATGTGGATTGTTTAAAATAAGGTGAAAATAAAAAATTCAACAATTTTACAATGGCTTTTATAAATATAGATCAATGGCAATAAAAAATAAACCATCTAAAATGCAAAAGTGTTATTCTGCAATAAAAAACATTTCACAAACACCTTTTACCACTCTGCAATTAAATGTGCCAAAAAAAAACTTGATAAGTATTTTTTTACTAATTTATTATGCTATGTTCTTTAAGAAATTCAAGTACTCTTTTTGAAGAATACATTAACATCAGTTAAAATTAATATCTACCAATATAGAAAAAAACAATTTTTAAACTTTTCTAAAGGTAGAATAATTCAAATGCACCATGTAGATTAAGATTTGTGTAATATTTCCAAAAATGTTGGATGTAGTAAATCTAAAGTTTAAAGAATTGTGTTCAGATTTTTTTTTTCCCAACATTTTCGCTTTCAACAAGACTGAAAGCAACCACTATTAGAGTTGGAAGTTACTGAAAGAGAAAAGATGAAGTTTTTATAGCATAACAATTGAAAGACAACTTAAAAGATTGCAAATTATATGAAACAGGAAAGCAAGATAAAGGAAGTGAATTCCAAAGAATTGATGTTCGAGAAAAAAAACTATATGAATAAGAATTTCTTGAGCACTTTAGGAACAGTCACAGTAAAATGATGAGACTTAATCGAGTGATGAGTAACACGAGAATGAATTTTAGTAGATGGCGCAAGAGACGCAAGCTCAAGAGCAGTGCCCGGACATCAAGTTCCAATAAAATTGATTCAATCTTGATTGCCTATCAACTGTGAAATAAAACCAAAAGATGTGAGGCTCCATTGAAGAAAATGAAAGGTTGGTATCACTGCTCAAACATTGTTAATTTTTTTTGTAAAGTGTCATTTTAATAATGAAATTTTTTAAAATTTTGTCATTTTGTATGACTAGTTTGTAATCCTTAAAAATAAAAATAAAAAAAACCCCTCAGATATAAAGATAATAAAATAATAAAACCTTAGAAATAAAAGTAATAAAACCTTAGAAATAAAGATAATAATAACTTAGAAATAAAAATAATAAAACCTTAGAAATAAAGATAATAATAACTTAGAAATAAAAATAATAAAACCTTAAAAATGAAAATAATAAAATAATAAAACCTTAGAAATAAAAATAAGGTAGAAGATTCCGGTTCTGACTGTATGCCAGACCCTTCAAGATCACTATTTTGAAAGTATATCTTCACTATCTGATGTCAGTCAGGGTAGTATTTCTCCAAATATAAACATTACAAATTCACTAGTTCCTTACTCAAGCACCAATAGTGAGAGGGAAGACCAATTACCAACAGTAATAAAGAACAGATATAGGAAGAAGAACTCACATGCATGGAGAAAAAAATGTTAAAAAGTGAACTGAGTAGGTGGAAAACATTTCCTTAGCTGGAAAAATTTTGACAATTGTTGTAACAAATAATGCAAGCATTTCAGCACAGAATGCAAAAATGTAATTTTGATGAGTTTTGAATTGGTAAAGCATTGTGGGACCAGAAAAATAAGTATGTTACTTACTACCTAGCAACTAAATTTGTGAAGCAATTAAGAGTAATAGAGGGGAGCAAACATAAAAATAAACCAATTTTTTATAAAATGAAGAATAATGAAATTGAAATTAGAGTATGCAAAACCTTTTTTTAAAATACTCTTTGGATTAGCAAGTTTTATATTAAATCTTCGATTAGCTTTAATAATTCAGTCTTCTGGCTTGACAAAACCTGACCATAGGGGCAAACACTCTTCAAAAAGTAAAATCATAAACAGCATGGTCAACAGCATTAAAAAATATATTGAAAAGTTCCCTGCAACAAAAGCCATTACATAAGAGAATGCACTGCAAAAAAATATCTTAGCAGTGATTTAAATATCAAGAAGATGTACAATCTTCACATTGAAGAATGGACAATAAACCAAACGCTACAGCAAACCAAGAAGGTACAGGAAAGCAGTAGCTCTGTTGTAAGGTTTTAAATAGAAATTATATTTTATTTGGTTCTCCATACACTTTTTTCAATAAACTGAAAGGATCACATTCAGAAGAAGAGAAACAGAATGTCAGACCTTAAAAAAAGTCTTTATTTGAGAAAATTTTGGACATTCAACTAAACTATATGTGCAAAAAATTCTACATGATGGGGGAGGAGGTTCAAGAAGAAAGAGGTGGAAACAAGATAGCTTGTTGTTTTTTGAAATTTATCAAAAAACAAAACACCATCTAGTTGACACAAAATATAAAATGCTTATAGAGACACGAAATATAAAATACCTATACAGATTATTGTCCAGAACAAAACCGCAACATTATAATGGTGATGATGTATTTTAATAAAGAAATATCCATTACTGAAGACAATTGATCATAAATTTTCCTTACGAGGACATAGACATAACGTAGCAAGTAGATGCATCCCATCATCCCATACCATAATTAAAAGGAAAAAAAATAAATTAAGACAAAAAATATCTTTACATGTAATGATTGGTGCAATTTTGTAAGAAGTGGTGGAAATCGTTTAGCTTTTTATTTCCTGTGTATTTACATTTTTTAAATTAGTTTTCTTCCCTGCATATATATATGTATATATATATATATATATATATATATATATATATATATATATATATATATATATATATATATATATATATTTAGTATATATATTTAGTATATATATATATATATATATATATATATATATATATATATATATATATATATATATATATATATATATATTTAGTATATATATTTAGTATATATATATATATATATATATATATATTATATATATATATATATATATTTAGTATATATATTTAGTATATATATTTAGTATATATATATATATATATATATATATATATATATATATATATATATATATATATATATATATATATATATATATATATATATATATATATATATATATATATATATATATATATATATATATATATAAATAACCTCCTCCCAATTATGTCATTTGTGCTTACAAATTACAATATCATATATATATATATATATATATATATATATATATATATATATATATATATATATATATATATATATATATATATATATATACATATATATATATATATATATATATATATATATATATATATATATATATATATATCGAAAGAAGAATTTGTGCTTACAAATTACAATATATATATATATGTCGAAAGAAGAATTAGTGCTTACAAATTACAATATATATATATATATATATATATATATATATATATATATATATATATATATATATATACAAATAGTATTGCATACTAAGGTAAGCAATCTGACGTCATATTGAAATAGCCTGCTGCTGGGGGCTTCAGTACATACATCGACTGACAAATAGTATAATATACAAATATATATATATATATATATATATACATATATATATATATATATATATATATATATATATATATATATATATATATATATATATATATATATATATATATATATATATATATATGTATATATATATACAATAAAAAACCTTAACTTGTTTTAAATTTAAAAAAAGGTTAATTTGTCTCTTAATTAATATGCTTTTTAAATAATGTGTTTCTTCATTAAATGTGTTAATCATTACTTAAACTTAACTTGATCTTAAATAACATTATAGCTGTAAACATGTAAATGACCAGTTTAACAAAATAAATTAATATTGGATTTTAAAACTTAATAACATTTGCCCTAAAATTTTTTATTAATATTCGCCCTAAAATTAAGTAAAGTAAAAAACATGAGAACAACAGACATTCAAAAAATAAGTTTTATTTACTTAAGAATGAATCACCTTGCTATGCTTGTTATTTATGAGTTTTAATGATTGTTATAAAGAATTTGATTTAAAAAAAAAAAAATATTTTTTAAATAAAACTTGTGTAACTTGAAAAAACAAATAATTACAATAAATAAATTATGAACTCATATTAAACAAATGTTTTTAAACTGTTAAAATTAGTGGGTAAATGGGTTTAGAGGAAGAAAAAAAAATAAATAAAAGAGAAAAAAAGTTAATATTTACTTTTAGAGCATTAATGGGACAATTTTTTCTTTTCTTTTTCCCATTTTTATCACCAGAAACAATTGGAATTCCATATTGATCAACCTGTTCATTTGCTAATAACCAGTTAATAGGATTACTTTCTAAATAATTCAAGTAAAAATGATTCTTTCTGTATGCAGAATCATTAACTACAAATTGATTTAAAGCATCCAATGCAACATGTGGCATTTTCTCTACAATAACACATATAGCTGACATCCCAGTGTCATCAAATACTCCTACTGGAGCTCCAAGGTCAACTAAATATCTTGTAGAGTCTTCTTGAGCTACAGTCACAAAATTGTTAAAAAAAATAATTCAAAAATTATATTTAAAAAAAAATTCAAAAAATGTACAATATTGAATACCCATTAAAAATAAATACAATTAAAATACTACGCAATAATTGAATTTAAAAGTTAAAAACAAAATTTATTTGATAATATTATTTTATTAACTCAAAACCTGAAAAAGTTTTACATCCAAAATTTTATACAAATTAAAAAAAAAAATCATTTAAAAGCATAAACTTTTAAAAGTTACCTGTTTCTGCAGCAATATAAAGAGGTGTCCTATTCTTATAATCTTTATCACATAAGTTTGCACGGTTTTCTATCAGAATCTTGAGAGATCCAACTGCATTGTACTTTGCTGCATAATGTATAGCCGTCTGTTGTTCCCCGTGTGTTTTTTTGTGTATATCAGCTAAGGTTGAAACACAACTTTATATAAACTAAACTTGACATACAAAGACTTTACAATAGCAAAGAGAAACAACAATACCTGAATTATTAATTAGATAATTAACCATTTCAAAGTGGTCAACAGCAGAAGCTAAATGAAGTGGTGATCTACCCCATTTGTCTGTCTGATTAACATTTGCTCCAAAATCTATAAAAAACTTAGCAACATCTACATTCCAATTTCTTGCCACTTCATGCATCACAGTTTGACCATGTTTATCTGCAACATTTACATTTGCACCTCCTAAGATCAGAGACTCCAAGAAACGAAAATCAACTGTATCTTTACTTCCTTTTTTAGCCATTTTAGAAAAGTAAATAATTAGAGCCTTGCTTGCTGCTGCTACTTTATTTAGACCAGATTCTAATAGATTTTGATTATCCATGTCTTCATCTAAAGTTCCAATGTCAGCATTACCCTCACCATCTTTGAGAACTTCTTCTCTTGGTGCAGGACCAACACGATAAACACATGCTGATTTTGGCGGTTTGCGTCGCGCATCTGATAAATGATCCCAATTTCTAGCTTTTGATGAAGCAGTTGCAATGTTAGAGAGTGATACAGACATTACAGATTATTCATTGTAAAACTAAAATTTAATGTTAAAACAATAATTAAATTAAAACTTCTATTATGGATGTAACTCTTTATTAATCTTTACATATATATTTATATACTTGTCAACGAAGGTATCTATAATCCCTTGAAATATTGTTGAAAATTAATAAATTTCAAACTCTTTAATGATGTCTTTTAAAATTTAATATTAAAACAAATCTATAAGATCTATAAATTAAAAACTCGGAGATTAGATTTTATTTTATAAAAAATATTGTTATATTATATATATATATATATATATATGTATATATATATATATATATATATATATATATATATATATATATATATATATATATATATATATATATATATATATTTGTAAAAAATCTGTATTTCATCAATTAAGACTCATCAGAAATGAATGTTTATTTAATAAATTTAATAAATCTTTGATTTGAACCAAAAATAAAATTACAGGAAGTCATAAATATCTTAGCAAGACCACTGTTGGGTAATATGGCCAATTTAGCAAATTTATCAGTTTTTTGCTAAAAACTGCTAAAGTTTTTAGCAAAAAACTGATAAATTTGCTTAAAAAAACTCAAGTCCCACTTAAATTACTTTTTTAGCCTTTAGATGACTTTTTATCTTAACCTGACATTTTAATGTTTATTACAAAAAATAATACTCTTATAGTTGAATGCTTTTCACATGTTTTTTAATTTTAGATTTTAGAAACACTATTGCCAAGCAAATATGTGAGTAGCTATATAGCAAAAATTTTAACCAGACCTCTATTAGCTACTATGGTAAAGCTCAAAGCATTTACATTTAGGTAAGTAGGATAAATAGATCATTTTAAAAATTGAGGTAATATTACCACTTATTGATTTGGTTTATAAATGTGCCTAATATTTTTTCTTTTTTTTTTTCAGTTGCAATATGCCACGGACATAAAAACCAAAAGAAGGTTATGCACACAGTAACTACCCCATAAAGCAAGTAAACAAGGCTATGAAGGCCATAGCTGCTGTTAAAAGCTGTTATGTCTGTTAAAAGGGCCTCTGAGACCTACAAAGTTTCCAGATTAACTCTTAGAAATTATTTATGTGGTAAGAACAAAAATATGAAAAAACTTGGTCAAACTGCCATTCCTGCCAATAAAGAACGTGTTATAGCTCATAATATAGTTACATTTGTTGATTTTAGATTTGCTTGGGATCTGGCTGAATTGAGACACTTCATCAAAAGTATCCTTGACATACAAAAGAGGATTGTTGGGGCCTTCACTAACAACTTCCCTGGGTTAGATCAGCCCTATGGATTCTTAAAAAGGCACCACAACCTAATTACTCAGAGAATCGGTCAGAAAATTATAAGGAGCTTGTTTTTTGTTTCAACAATCTGCACACCCTAATCATTCCTACTTCTAATATAATGAACTATGAGATGAGACTAATCTCAGTGATGATCTGGCTCCAAAAGAATGATTTACAGAAAAGTCACAAGGTATCATAATAACATAATAAACATGACATACATATAATCTCAATAATGCTTGCAGGAAGTGCAAGTGGAGTGGTTATACACCCCCCCCCATTGCTTATAAAACAGAGCACATGATGAGCATGATGAGTATCTGACTCAAGAATGGGCCACCTATTGCTCACTACAATAAAGCTAAGTCTAGCTGGTTTGATAGGTTTTGGAAGAAGACTGGTATTGTAAAGTGGTTTTATCTTCATGTAACAATTTAGGATACGCTATTTTAGGCAAAGGCTAGAAGATTTTAATGTTTATCACATTGAATAGCTTGGCTCTAGTGTCAGTGACTCTGCAGGAGTTAAGGCTCTGAACTTTTACTTCTCAATCTCTAAATAAAATAGTCAACATTTTAACTCGCTTTCCAGACAATCCAAATCATTTAACTCTCTACTGGACAAATGCGCTTCTTATGTAACTTTATGGATTCAGGCTGGCATGAAATGTGTATACATACATGTATATATATATATATATATATATATATATATATATATATATATATATATATATATATATATATATATATATATATATATATATATATATATATATATATATGTATGTATACACATTTCATGCCAGCCTGAATCCATAAAGTATATATATATATATATATATATATATATATATATATATATATATATATATATATATATATATATATATATATATTATTGTACTGCTGCAATTTCTATTCATAACTATTACTTCTAATTATAAAACTAATTTTAATTACTAAATTTAATATCTATCAGCAAAACAATTCTCCACAAAAGAGACCACTGTTTACTATTGCTAGAAACCATTGTAAAAAGATTTCTTACTTTAGATGTGAGAAATTTTTACATCTAAGGTGGCATTGTTCGCCGACGATACTACCATTTATTCTTGTCTTGATAAGAAGCCAATACTCTTTAATTGCTTAGAGAGGACATTTGAGCTTGAAAAGGATCTCACTTTTGCTACAGCATGGGGCTCTCAGTGGCAGGTGAACTTAAACTCATATAAAATCTGAGTTAAAGTTTACCAGTCACTGAGACTACTTAATTTTTCCAGCTAATCCTTATCACAACAATCTAGATCTTCCTATATTTTTGAATGGTAATGTACTCAATAAGTCAACTAACCTTCATCTTCTAAAATTAACTCTTACTTCTTGTAGGATCTTTCTAGGAAACCATAATCAAATTGATTGCAAAATTACCATCATATCTCTTTATCTTGCTCGCCACTTTCTTACTTAGGACTCTATTCTTTATATCTGTAAATCTCAAATCTGCCCTTGTATGGAATACTGTTGCTAAATCTCAGGCAGTTCATCCAATGATGCCCATTCTCTTTTAGACAAGGTGCAAAAATGCATTGTAAACACAGTTGGACCTGATCTTGCAGCCAACCTCCAACCATTATCACATCAACATAATGTTGCTTCTCTTACTCTTTTCTATAAACACTTTAATTAGTGCTGCTCTAAAGAGCTATCGCCTCTTGTGCCATCTACTTAAATTCATTCTTGTGTTACTTATCATTCAATTAAGTCTCATCTTTTTACTGTAACTGTTTCTAAGTGCTCTAAAAATATTTGTCTAGTTTTTTTTTCAATTATCAGTTCTTTTGAATTTGCTCCCTTAATTTTGTTTTCCTGATTCATATAATTTACAATCTTTTAAGTCATCCGTTAATTGTTATCTTGCTTTAAAAATTTTATCATTTCTCTTCCAGTAACTTCCAACTCTAATAGTGGTTGCTTGGAGCCTTGTTGGAAGTGAAGATGTTGAATATATATATATATATATATATATATATATATATATATATATATATATATATATATAATATATATATATATATATATATATATATATATATATATATATATATATATATATATATATATATATATATATATACAGGTAAGTGTAAAGTAGGAGGTAGGGGGGGATGAAACATACTAAAACATATAGGCAGAGAGGGGAAGGGGAGTGGAGTTAAAAAAATAGTGTCTTAGCTGAGAATCAACAGCTGAGACATCAGCTTTTTGTTTAGTTTATTATAAATGATTTTAAATGTCTGCTTGTCCACAATGTGCAACAAAAATTTTTGTTAAACATTGCTAAAACATCATTTTGCTGTCTCCATCATTAGATTTATTTTACAAATAGGTAATCTATTTGGAAATAATTTGTTACCTATAACTTTTTGCTATTTTAAAAAAAAACAAAAACATATACACCTGTAAAGTCAACAAAGACAAAAACGGAACAAAATAAAAACTATTGGTACACTGGAACAAATTGTATAAAATCAGGACAATCGCGGGGAAAACAGGACATATGGTGAGCCTATATAGAAGAAATTTAGGTAAGTATTTTTACAAACTTAATATCGCTCTGTTCTTTTAAAACATCACTTAATGTGTAAACTTTGCTAACATAACTTATATATATATATATATATATAAATATATATATATATATATATATATATATATATATATATATATATGTATATATATATATATATAAATATATATATATATATATATATATATATATATATATATATATATATATATATATATATATATGTATATATATATATATATATATATATATATATATATATATATATATATATATATATATGTATAAATCAAAAATTTATATTTTTATACTTATATCAAACAAGGATGTTTTGCAAATAATTGCAATGATTGAAGTCTGGTAACGAAAAAGCTATTAAAATTTTAGCTACACTTGCCCCAAACGTGAGAGCAACAAGTTGATAAAATAATTTTTATACTATTCTTAACTAAATTTATATTCATCGATAAATTTTAAAATTCACACAATAATCTTTTAACATTCAAAAACTATGACAATTAAAAGTTTGAACCCTACTCAGTTTGAGGGGGCTGCAATTTTTACGAGGCCATAATTGTTGAACGCTAAGAGATTATTGTGTGAGTTTTAAAACTAAGCAATGAATATATAATTGGTTGAGAAAAGTAGAAAAATTTTTTTATCAACTTGTCTTTTTTGTTCCCAGTCTTTTTTGTTCCCAGGGTCCATTTATTGCAATTTTTTACAAAGCATACTTATTTGATATAAGTATAAACATATAAATTTTTGGAGTTTACTGCATGGAAGTTAGGTATCTCAAACATTAAAAAATGCTGCATCCACACCTGTATATATATATATATATATATATATATATATATATATATATATATATATATATATATATATATATATATATATATATATATATATATATATATATATATATATATACATACATATATATATATATATATATATATATATATATATATATATATATATATATATATATATATATAATATATATATATATACATATAATATATATAATATATATATATATATATATATATATAATATATATATATACATACTGTTCTGTCCATTAGTAGTTCATTCACTTTCTCTTCGTATGTTGTT